GTGTGTTGCTCAGGCAAGCAAACAAACTGTCTCGCTCTCTGTGGTTATATGGCCACAGCCCAGAAGAATGTGTAGACAGTGGCATGTGTGCACAAACATAACAATTGGTCTCGTTGTTTATGTGAGCAGTTGTGTTCATAAACTGCCACCAGTAATTGGTTGAAATCCCATGCAGGTACTGGGTGTGGTTTGCTCTGTCCCAGTGCGCTCCTGTCAACCCACTCAGGGTCAACAGGCTCAAGAAGGTGCACAGCACATTCCTCGACATTCTAAATTGGGTTCTGGATCCGTTGGTTTCTTCACCAGGATTGAGACGAGAGGCCCTAGAGACTTTCTCCCCTCTTTGTACTCCGGTCTTTTCACCATTACCCAGACTCGGCCAGGAAGTGTGTTACCTTCTTGCAGTGCTCTTGATGTATCCAGGTGTATCTCTCAGCAATCTTCACTGCTGTGGGCGTCGTCAGCAGCACCTGATAGGGACCTTCCCACCGTGGACTGGACTAGCACTTCCTTTTTATGGCCTTTATCAGCACCCAGACTCTCCAGACTTCAGACTCTACTCCTGTGGAGAAACAGAATCATCTGGCAGATCATTTGTTCTCATGACTTCTTTACTTTTTAACATTTTAAGCATCAAATCTGCTAATGTGTGCTCCTCTTGTGCTTTTCTATCATCACTACAGAATACTGGAACTCTAAATGGTCTAACCTATATAATCTTAAAGGGTGTCAGACTGTTCTCTGTTGGAGTAATACTCATGTACATCTTAACTAATTCTATACAGCCTAACCATGTCCTGCCTTTCTCTTCCATTGTTTTCCTAAGTCTTAGCTTTACTGTCCCATTAGTTCTATCTACCAACCCTGCACTTTGTGGGTGATATGAACAATGGTGTTTTAGTGTTATCCCTAGATGCTGTGCCATTAACCCAATCAGTTCATTTACAAAGTGTGGGCCATTATCACTATAAATGGTCTCTGGAATCCCGTGTTCCGGGATGATATTCGTACATATTGCTTTGGCAACCGAAATAGCATCTGCTTTCCTAGTTGGGACAATTTCTACCCACTTTGAAAAAGGGCACACTATCACTAGACAGTACTTATAGTTATTACAGTTGGACAGCTCTATAAAGTCCATGTGAATAACTTGAAATGGGTGAATGGGTCTGGGGAATTTCCCTCTCTTAGGTCTCAAATTACCCTGAGAATTGTGCTTGCAACATTTAAAGCATTAAGTCCTAGAGTATGAAAATGTTGCTCTACTGCTGCCATCATCCCCCCTGTTGAGACATGGCACGGCCCATGGCTCAAAATCACAGCAGTCTTATAAATTCTCAGGCAGTATTATCACATAGATAATAAACATCATCTTGCAAGCTTGCACTTTTTGTGAACCACAACTGTTTTTCCTGCCGTATGTAAGTGGGCCTGCATGTCTGCCAATACATCTCGTGTAATAAGAATGTCTGCTGGTGCTGCACTGCTAAAATGTGAACATCATGTGCTCCTAAAGCTGTCTCTTTTGCAATCTTATCTGCTAAGGCATTCCCTAATGTGACTGGATCTTTCCCTCGGGTATGTGCTGCACATTTACAAACAGCAATTCTACTGGGCAATAATACTGTGTCCAGCAGATTTTGCAGGAGTTTGGCGTGTTCTACAGGTTTCCCTGTCGAGGTTGTCATACCTCGTCTTGCCCACTGTGCTGCAAAGAAATGTAATGTAGCAAATGCATATTGGCTATCAATGTATATTGTCACATTTTGTTTCTCTGCAGCTTTACACGCTTTCGTTAAAGTTGCTATCTCTGCTGCTTGAGCAGATATGAAACATGCTAACTGTCTTGCACAGATAGCTTTCCTCACTATCTACTACAGCAAAACCTGTTTTAGCCTGTCCCTCTGCTGTTTTAAAGCTCAAACCATCAACAAACCAAACCTTTCCCTCACCAAGTGGCACATCTTTTACGTCATCCCTTGGCTTACACTCCGTCTCCACGTGCTCTCTATACTCATGAGGAGTGCCCTCTTCCTTCGTTGGCAAAAGGGTTGACGGATTCAGAGTTGTGCACCGCTTTATGGTTATGTGTGGTTGTGAGAGTAACAGTGACATTAAAAACAAGTATCTTGCAGGTGACAGAAATGTCATTTTAGTCTGCAGTAGTAAAACGTCTACCTTGTGTGAAACTAGCAGTGTCAAAGGGTGAAATAAAACTATTTCCCGGAACATTGTACAGCTTGAGCCGCTGCACATACTGATTTCACACACGGAGGCAAAGCACAAGCAACTAGATCTAATCTTTTAGAATAGTAAGTTACTGGCTTCATTTTTGGGAGAAGTGCTGTTAGTTATTCCACCGTCACCTGGCATTCGTGCTATTCACAGAACCACAAGTCCATCGCTGAACTTCTTCCTGTCCGTCGGATGGAGCTTGGCACGCTCCCTTCAACCTTAAGGTTCTCATGTTCCAATGCCGCGGACGATTTAAGGCAGAGCACGTCGTACACCTTAGTTCTCTTCCTCAACGTCAACGTCGAAACTCTTTCACTTCATTTAAGATTTTGCTGTTCAAAATCTCCTCATGACAATCTTCTGGAAGCCCAGTAGCACAGCTCTCTGTGGGATGTCTGCTGTGCTGAAGATGATCTCTGATCCTCCTGAAGCCTCTCTCCTGGCCTGGCGTCTTATGGATGATCCCCTCAGTCACTCCTTCTCGTCATGGCACCTCACGACACCTGCAAATCAAAAATTGACACTCCTCTCGCCACACGGCTCTTGCTATGTATAAACTGCCACACAATGAGACATGTACAAGAATGTTGCACATTCTCCCTAAAAAAATATTCTCCAGGCTCCAGGGTCCCTCTTGGAGTAGCTCCACTCCAAACCTGTAACCCTGTGTCAAAACATTAGTCAGTGATTAAATGTTAAGCTTATTTAAGTCCCAGCTCCACCCGGAGCCTGTATCCTAGAAGACAAAGTCTTTAAGTTAAAACAACTTCACATTTGTAACCAACTGTAGCTCATAAGTGTAATAAAGTATTCAGCATCACAGAGACAAGTACCATTGCAGGGTTATTCTAAACTCATTAAACCCCTACTTTTTCCATAATTTGCTCCAAATCATTGAACATCTCAACTTCATTCCACATTGTAATCAGTGGCTTTCCTTAAATTTGTTACTCACCATGAGCTCAATAGTGATCAGCCCCATGTAACTATTCTGTAACCACTGCACATCTGTTCAATTGTCACTTGTCTGTCTGTGTTGAATCCTTTACAAACACTCTTAAAGGAAAGAGCATTAGCCAAACACACAGATCATCCTGGTGGTCAGGTGTCGGTCACCCAGTAAATCATACCAAACCTAATTGGCAGGCTCAACTTTGTAACAAAAGACAAATCATCAGCCAGTTTAATCTCAAACATTCATCCAATCAGCCACACCACACACAACATACAGCATAACCCTGTTGTCTCATCACATAATAAGTTTCTTCTCATGTAACCAAATGTGTGCCATGTTAAAACTTCTTCACACATCAGAAACTCAACAATCAGCTCACTCAGCTCACTCATTCAAGACCCCTCATCAGCATTCTGTTTTCTCCTCTATGATGCAATCATCTGTCCTCCTATAATATTAGACACTAGTCTATGTATCACTTTCATCTTACTAGTGACTTGGACAAGATGACAAACAGAATCTCATGCTTAGATGCTGTCTGGTCTTCATGAGTGTCATTGTATGTGTGTATGCATGTAGGGCTAGTATGGTTAAGACATTTTCTGTTTGTGTGGGTTTTTATGTACCTCTCTCATCAAGTTTTCATTATTCTCATCACCGCATAAACAACACACATCTCTCTCTGTTTTTGAACTCTCCTTTCTTAAAAACAGAAAGTGGGATTGCAGTTTTTTCAGGCTGAGAAACACCAAACACTCTTCATTTATCATTCATATTTCATCAACACAACTATTTTATTTCTTTTGTGTCCACTGGGTTAGAAAGTGACCTGCAGAATCATCTCTTCCCCAGTTTGAGACCACTTCACTCACATACTTTCACACCTCTCTGTGGCTCACACACACCATGACATCAAACACAATCGCGTGCCTTTCACCAAAACAAAAAACGTGATACTGATGTTACAAAGGTCTCACACACATGAATCAGGATGCAGAAAAGCTGTTGCCCATCTGAGGTGTGAGGAAGAAACTGAACTCACGGATAGCTGCATGCTCGAGTTATCATAGCTCTGTTTCCCTCCCTCTAATGCGTTCTCAACCAGCTCCTGCTCTGAAAACGTGTAGCTTGCTCATCAGCTTAAAAGTGACTGCATACAAAACAACAATCAGACTCACTCAAACAGACCACGTCTGGCCCGCACACACAAAATAGACACCAACAAGAGCTCTGACCTCCTTACAGTTGGTGGAGAAACCAGCACTCAACGCCCTCAGCTGTGGAGAAAAACCTTCCTTTCGATGGGAAACTTGCTTAACCCTCCTTAAAAAATAAATAATAAAAAACACTAGTGCCATCCAACCCGAGGAGAGTTCAGACACAAACTCTCCAGCCTGGCGATAAAGTTAAGCACCAGGGCTTTCATCAGGCATCCCAGATGCTGGCTGCTAGCAGACTTCGGCAGCGTCATCTCCCTCCTCCTCGGTGGACGCAATGTGTTGGGATCTGGCTCAAAGGACCAAATAAATGTTGAGTCTGCGCTTCCATAGATCCCACTAGTTTAGAGACTTATTCCTCATGAAGAACAAAAACAAGACAGAACATCTTCAACCAGTCTTTTACTTGCTAGCAAGGGAAGGCTGATCGGAACCAGGCTGTGGAGCTTAACGCTCCTCACCTGTCACCAGCCCAACTCCTTCAAAGAGCAGCCCTCCTCGTAGTGTGTGTGTGTGCATGCATGTGAGAATGTGTGTGTGTGTGTGTATGCGTGTTCTCCTGCTCCCCAAAAGGATCATAAAAGCAGGAAGCTTACAACACAAGAAACAGATCTTTCAGATAGGATGTATCTACAATAAAACCTCCCCCAGCACCAGTGGCTGGAGAGGTGGTCAGAGACAAAGGAATGTCTTTGATCATACAGTTTGAAACAATGTAGAGATGGTAAGCATAAAAATGACAACATTTAACAATTCACTTTAACATACACCATCACCACTTTTCACCGCTAATGACATAATTGTCATCCACAGTGTAGAGTGTTTTCAGCAAACAGCAGAGAGGTACTGCTGCTGGTATGCAACATTTACATCTATATGGCCTTAATAAGTAAGATATTTAACTTTGTATTCTGCTTTTTCGCATATACCCAACTAGGGTTGGATAAGCACGCTAACATATTTGGTTGGTGGCCAACAGCGTATTTTTAAAACATAGTACAGATTGTAAAAAAAGAAAAATCAGTTACTGTCATTATTTGAATTTTTAGGTACATGGCTCCACAGCTCGAGAGATTAATCTGTGGTTTGGCCTGAGGGGGATGATCCAGGAGGGAGGTGTGCTTTCACTCTGGAGGGGAAATGGTATCAACGTCCTCAAAATTGCCCCTGAATCCGCCATTAAGTTCATGGCCTACGAACAGGTCAGTGGACAAACAGTGAGAAAGTGGAACTATGTCTTCTGTTCTCTTAAGTGTTTACTTAACTCGTGGTAGAAAAAGTAGTAACTGTATATTAGTTTACAGTGGGGAAAAAACAATAGTCCACTCTGTGTCCTTCTGAAATCTTTTATTGCTTGTGGTTTCCCCTCCTCCTGCTCCTCACTCTTCCTACTCCAGATCAAGTGGCTGATCCGAGGTAATAAAGAGGGGGGCAGTTTAAGGGTACAAGAGAGGTTCATTGCTGGGTCGCTTGCAGGAGCTACTGCCCAAACTATCATCTATCCCATGGAGGTGAGTTTAAAATTTGTGTCAGTCATTTCCTCTTGAAGATATGTTTCTT